TTTCTTAATTGGGGACAAATCTATTCAAGAGAGTTTACAGTGTAAAGTCAGTTCAAGTTACAGCAGTGCCATGCACATGCTTCCAGCAAAAAAACAATAGCGATCACTTAAATAGCTTTAGAATAAAGGTTTTTTACATTAAGGGAAAATGATTCGTTTAACATATTGTTGCCTTCATACAGGTAAGAAATCTTCCCTTGAGCAGTTACTTAAAGAGTAAAAAAAAAGTATATCAGCATAAAGACTATACATCACATTTCCCCAAATCCCTCTGTATTAAAAGAAAGAAAGAAACTTTTAAAATACCTTTTCCCCTATAAAAGAAGGCTTGGGTAATCAAAATTCCCAAACAAGACACTTTCCCAAATACCATAGTAACACTATTGCAACTTGTCAGAGAATACTTAAAGCATTTTTGAAACGAGTCTAAAATGAATTACTTAAAATTAGGAATCAAAATCCTTATTTAGTCACCTATGTAAGAGGCCAATATAATCTAATGAGCACCCACACAGGCTCAGTGAGGGTATAGATGCTATATACCACTAAAGATCATATCCATCTAAGTTTGACAATTGTGGCCCTGGGCTATATTATTGGGCCATATATATATATGGATTCTTTGTCTCATCTGCAACACAGAAAAATAACAAATAGGAAATAATTGAACAGATAAAAACCGAAGTCACAATATTCATTCTTGCTTCCTCTCTGTTCTTACATGATTGGCATCTAAAAATTGATTTATTTTCACCAAATATATTTCCTGTGAACTCTAGCATAGCTCCTAGGCTTCTTTGAAGGACAGAGAATACTCATTACATACCCGGACTCAATACAGGGAGTACAAACTCATGCAGATTTACTTGAAATGCTGCCATATTAAAAACATTGAATATTCTGATTATTTTTATAAATGCTAATTAGCTAAATATATCCATAATTAAGTTTGCATATTCCACAATGAATATGTATTCTCATTTGGAATACACTAAATAGCATTTCAAAGACATGATTCAATAAGCATGAATTCTGGGAGCACAGGCCGATCATGTACTGGGTATAGGACAGTCAGTTCACTCTTGGAACAATCACTGTGACTGAAGGCAGACTTTGTATAGTATTTTGACTCCAAAAGCAAGGGACTCCCAATGCAATGAGTGAAATAAATTTACAAGGACTGCAGCTAAAACCCTATCTCTTAGCATTGCAATCAAAGGCCAAAATCCTGGTGAGTTCAGTAGCATAGGAACAGAATTGTGGTTTGCTTTAAAAATGGCAACAGTTATTGTAGGTAATTTTGTGGCTTGAATCCATCCTTTTTCACCTTTCTAAAAAAACCTTTGTTTGGATCCAGTTGTGTTCAGATTCCACCCCTCCCGTCTCTATGCTCAGAGATTGTTGAAACAAAATGTTCTAGAAAATTGTAAAGGGTAAGCACTTATTCTTGGCACAGTTTACAAGATGGTGGCAGAGATGATCCCTCACCTAATTGGCAGTATGCAAATGAAGCCAAGTAACAACACATGGTGGAAAAACATATCTGCCATTGGCACCTTGGAAGTCTTTGTCCTGCAGTTCTTGTTGTTCTACAACCCACACTTTACAAGTGGAAATATTATAATGAATGCAATTCTTGAAATCCTTTTGATTTAAGAGAAATGTTAAAAGCAGGCTTTATATGAAAGTGTGTATGTGTATAGATAGGCTTTATTAAGACAGCATAACCAAAAGCCTTCTATTATGTCCACCATAAACGTTTTAACAGTTTCCTATGTTGTTAAGCAGTTATTCTCATAATGCAGATTGTCAAACTTCTGGGAATAAATGGATTGTAAGGACCAAAGGGAAAAGGTTGTGTATGTTACCAGGGTGTTTTTTTGTCATTACCTTTTATTGATATTCCTTGTTACAGTACCATATTTCCTGGAGCAGCCTAGGAAAAATATTCAGATAAAAATATTAAAACTATTGGCTACTCTTAATTTTTTCTTTTACATTTCGGATTCGAATAGTGTCAACTACAAGTCATATTTTTTGACATTGTGCTCACATATGAAATGTTGTGTCCCGGTTCCTTGCTGAGTTTCTGTTAAAGACCATGATTAACAGTTCATTTCTCATTATTGCAAATGTTATTTTTAAGTAGTTATGCTGAGAACAAGAATTCCATTAATCAAAATAATAGATAATGAACAAATAAATGGCAACCTAATTTGTCTCATTCATACATATGGTGATTATAATGCAAACAAGGAATTGTGTAGGTTGCTGTTCTATAATGTGCATATTCCATGTGTACGGTATATCTTTTAGTTTACAAATATTATAGATGAGATTAATGAATGAAGCTCCTGTCTTAACATTTTCCTGTTAGCCATGCAACTGGAAAGGGATCTCTTTTACATGCATAGTTACTGCTCCATTGCAATGGTTTTCAGAAATGTAAGACTGACTTATTTAAATATTTGTAATCTGATTGCAATCCCCTGTCATAGCCTAGCCAAACTTGTAAAAGTCCTAACCATAACATTTTGGACATTATACTGCTGAAACAAAGCTGTTTTAAGTTGTGTTTAATGAAGACGTCATTCGTGTAAACACAGCTATTTTCTTATCAGTGAAAGAAGAAACCACCACTTTAAATGATAAAGCTGCTTCTTCAGAAAAAATATTCCCATCCCAAGAGCATGTGTGCCATACACCAGCTGAGGCAGTATGTAATTTAAGAGCCAAATTTTCAACAACAGCTTTTAATATCCTGCTTCTAAATTGCAGGTACACCCATTTTAAACAGATAAACTGATTGATAGGCATATGCAAATGCACACGAATAGGCAGTTTTGTCAGCACATTGTTGCAGGCATAAAATCAAATACTTTTCTAAGATTAAGGGTGCAGGCAGACGTGAAAATTTTCATCCAATCTGGCCAAAACGCTTCCTTCAAAGCTTCTCAGAGCTGTACTTCTGTCTGTGCCCTAAATGAAAAGCGCTGGGGTGCTCGAAGTATACTAGTGCTTTCAAAGGGCAGTATCACCTCATTTTCAGTCTGGAAAGACTGCATTCACCTCCAAAAGTTTGAAACCTCCTTTTTAATGATGGAAGAAATAATTTTTAAGATATGTTCTTTGCCCTTCTACTCATGCACCCTTCTGCTGTTCCCTTCTCAGGCAAAATTGTACTTTCACATTTGTTATGTGTTTCAGTGGAGCACTGAAGGCTACAATTTCCTCTCAGTTATGCAAGTGTAGGAAAGGATGGCCCTCAGCAGTGGTCTTCTCAAAAGCAATAGTTAAGGGAGTTCTCCTAACTTGGTCTGTTCAGAAATGAATTTCCACCCCTTCCTACCCACTACCAGTGCCCTGGTCCCCACTGTACTTTTATTTCCTGTAGTAAGATGAGAACCACTTTCAAGTTGCTTTGCTACTGGAGGTGCTCCATTTGTGTGTGGATTTCTGCAGGACCTGTAGGGCAGACCTTTTTACCATGCACTAATTTGGAAATTGGTCTGACAGAAATTACCCCTAATTATGGCCTGAAGCCAGGATCCTTTTTCAGTTTTTACCTAGTGAAACTAGGGCAGTATTCTCCTCTCACCCCAGCTCCACCCTGCTTCAAGCACAAAGAATCCACACCGGTCTCCCATGTGCATCTAGAGCTGATTCAATACAAGAGGTTTTAATGATGAATGCCTCCTCTTGGAATTGTGGCTCTGTCTCTTAGGCATGATCTAGCTGTGCAAAAATGTAAAACATCTTTCTTAGTTTACTGCAGGAAATTCAGCATCCAACTAAGGAAGTTTTATCACATCTCTCATTCAGTTACTGTTTCCTACATTTCAAATATACTGCAGTCTGTGCAGAAGCTTTTTTTTCTTTAATTTTGTTGCAAATCTTTCCGACTTTAACCAAACTTTGACTGGTAAATGTCATGAATCTTGGGCCAGGTTTAATTAGGAATTTTCTAAATCTATTAACAAAAGAGATACACTTAATACATTATGTCAACCAGAGCTGGGCTTTCTTTAGCTATTTCCAGGGCTGCCATAGGCACAGCTTGAAACTTACTTGGATTTTACATGGGTGCCGTATTTTATGTTGCATTAATTTAAAACGGTCTGTTTCACTTCATCAAGACTTTAGCTTAAGGATAATGTATTTATGTAAGATTAATCTTGCCATGTTGTTTTAGGATCAGGATTGTAAACCGGGTTGTTCAGACAGTGATGTTTCAAATGTCATTTTAAAGCCTTCCCTGGGAGCTGCAGGCTCCTGTTTATTCATGATATTATCTTGCATTTAGGATATTCCTTCTATTTTTCCAACATAGTAATTATTCCTGGAAACTGGTGTGCACTCACATGCACACCCTGCCTAAGACAGACTTGCACACACACTCACTCCTGTCTGAGAAACATGCGTACACGCACACACCCCTGCCTCAGAGGCATATATGTGCATCTGCTTGACAGATACACACACACACATGCACATGCACACACCCCTGCCTGGGTGCATACATATGCATTCCTGCTGCGCACACACACACCCTGCCTGAGAGTTTGGCATGTTTTTTCTCTCTGCTTCTTTGGACTCCAAGTACAACATTTGTTTAAAGTATTATTTGGTTATAAATCCCTTTTGTTACTGTAAAATTCTGCTTTTTTGAAGGCCTTCCTCCTTCTTCCAGCCATTCTTAACCTTTTCTTAAGTGCTCTTTGAGTCACTATTATTTGCTATTCTAGTATGTCAAACAGCTTATAGGAGCCTGACATGCTGTGCTCTAGCTGGAGATTATTAAAAAATAACTCTTCATGATGTATTAGGTCAAAATTAATGTGCATAATGCTAATAAAAGGTAGCTAAAGCCAGGAGGAATTTAGGGTTCCTTGCTTGTTCTGAATAGAAGCAGAGAGAGAAGTGTTAATAGAAGATTACCGCCAGAAAACAAGAGGGAAAGAATCAGCTTTTCTGTTTTTGTCTGTTTTTTTTTCTTGTAGGGGAGAGACCATTCCAATGCAGATATTGTCCATACAGTGCCTCTCAGAAAGGGAACCTAAAGACACACGTACAGTGTGTGCACCGGGTACCCTTTGACAACAGCCAGTACCCCGATCGGCGGTTCCGACAACCTCAGAACACTGATGTGAACCCTATGGAAGAACAGCTGGAAAACTTCTCTGCAAGCCATCAAGTCTCTGGAGCCACCGTGCTAGAATGAAAACAGTGCTCTGTGCTCTGCTAGAAGGAGGATGCCTCTGCACTGTTAATCATTTTAAAATAAATGAAGATGCTACACAAGATATATATAAATTGACGTACTAATCAGTCCCATGGTTCCTTATTTCCTTTATAATAAACAGTGGAGTTGGCAAGCACTGTGGCAGCGCAAGGCATCTATATTAATCAAGATAAGTTTGAGACACTGGAAAAATTAAACTTTATGTGATTTGGACAGCGTGAAGAAGTTAAGCACTGTAACAAAAACCTCCCTGATGCTCACAATGACTATTTACAACATTTGAAAAACAGCAGTGGATTTGGGGGCTGGAGAAGTATTAATTAATGAAACTGCCCCTGG